AAATTTTTTTTGTGTAAAAAATTTTTTTTTTTTATTATTTTTATTATTATTATTTTTTTTTTTATATTATATTTTATTATAAATATTATTATTTTCAACCAACCTTTTCTGTTCGTAGTTGTGTAATGTGCGTGCAAATCATTTTTTTTTTTTTTTATTTTAAAAAAAAAAAAATATTATTCAAGTATTACTTCATTATAAGGTGAAAAACAAGGGACATTTATGCACGACTAAACCCCCATTTTTCACTTAGATGCCCAATGTTAATAATGATCATTTGTCAAATGAAACCTGATTGGATAAAAAGATCAATCTTAATTGAAATCAGATAATTATTGTTATTGTTTATGAAATATTTCACCAGAAATTCCGTCAAAATGTTCTTTATTACAAATTTAAAATTTTAAATTTTATTTATTTGGAACAAAACAATGCAATATTTTGCTATTGAGAAATGTCAAAATCGATCATCTACTTTTTTAGATGAAAAACTTTTTTGATATATGGGACTTTGGCAATAGAAAAGGGGAAACGGATAATGCCAAATCTGAACAAATTTTGACCCTAAGAATCATCGATTTTTCCCCTTTCTATTGCAAAGGTCACAATGAAAAAAAAAAAAATCTTTTATTGAAATAAGGGTGCTTGTCAGAATTAGATGTTGAAAATTTTTTATAAAGTATAATTTTTTCATTCGTTTTTACCGTTTAAAATAATTTATTTAGCCGTATTTAAATTTCCTATTTTATCAAATGTTGCCCGAATACCGGAATCACAACGGGCTTAAAAAAAATTTGAAATTACTCGCCACAATTTTTTATCCAATGTAACTTATATTTTGGGGATACAGCAGATTTAATATTTTGACCCCATAATAGAAAAAAGGAAAAAGGTTTGTTTATTTGTTTCAAGTGATGTAATAATGAATACAGAAATTCTAGTAACCGAAAATCAAAATTTTGACGAAAAGACCGAAATGTAATAAATTAAATTTTTTTTTTTAAAGAAATTTGATAATCGAATCATGTTGCTAAAATATCAAATTCATTCAGAAAAAGGAAACACAATATATGAACTTTAAATTTTACTGTAAGATAATCAAATTCAATGTGTTTTTAAAATTTTTCATGAGTTTGTGGGGTAAAAAGGATAAAAAAAAAACTGGTCTCTTTGCCGCCTTAGTTCCTTTTTTAATAATGGTATAATAATATATCACGCACTATTTCCTACTTTACATATTACACCACCACCAAAGAGTTTGATATTTATTAATAAATAATCGTTACAAAAATAGATAGATATTTGGTTTTTGTTTGTAAGTAATATGGTTTTATTATTTTAAACCACTTTATTGTTTATTTTAATACAAAAATTTGACACCTATCGCTATAGTTGAAAAAAAGTTCTATAAATAGAATATGTTTGTTCTACTAAGGATAATTTTAGTATTTTACAATAAATTCCAATTTTATTTAACGTAACACTTTGGGGGGAGCCACCTAAAAAAAATTTTTTTTTTTCGAAAAGTAAAAAAAAATTTACTGCATCATGCACGTGATTTAAAAAATCGTCATCTAATGAAATGAAAAATAAAAATCTTTTTTAATTTTTCTACGACCCACTTATCCGATTCCCAACCCGCTTTTAATTCTAAATGTGAGCGTCACCTAGAGATACTGCAATACTAGGGACACTCCGGGACCGAGTGTAGGCAAGCCCAGGGACTCAATCCCCAATGACAAAAATTCGTTTAATATCATAGTTACACAGTGTGTAACGTTTCAGATATTAGACTGAAAAGAACAGATACTACACTTGATCTTAGCCAATAGGCAAGAGAGGATAGGGAATCACAGTTTCGAGTTTTGATGATCATTTTATATCCATTCTGATCATTTTGGAAAATTATGGGATTATCAATGACGGTGTCATACGGTACAGTCAGTCATTTTTGACGTTTTTTTTTTATATCAAATTTTTCATTGCGACACAAATTGTTGATGATCATTTTTTCCAATGAAGTTTCATTTTTCTTTAAAAATATTAATCATGTGATTTTCGTGAAATTTCTTGGCGGAAGTAATTTATGCCAATGATACGTTACACGAGTGGCAACAAAAGGATCATTATTTCATCGTGTGATTCTTTAATCTCTTTTTTACTTGAGGTAAAAAATTGCTGACCCCCCTTTTTTGACATCATATTTACCAGCCATGAATGCATTTTCGGCTATATGCGAAGTAATTAAAAAACATTTTTCTTAAAATGTTATCTTATTTTATCAAAAAAATCAAATCATATCTTGATCTTTATGCATACTACGCTAGATATATATGTACACATATAAAAAAATTTTATATTCCTTGATCATTTTTAATTGGTAAATATTTGTTTCAAACACTTGAAAGGTAAATATGTCAAAAAAGTTTTTATTTTTATTTTTTTTTATTGCCACGGGCAAATGGGTCCATCTTTTTTTTCTACTTTTTTTTTTTTGTTTTGAAAAAAAGATGGTCCTATTTTTTTTTAATCAAAGATTTGATTATTTTTTTTTTTTTTGAACAAAGGACAAAATAGGTTTTTATTTGGAATTTCTTAAAAATTATAGTAATGATATTTCGTTCAAATAAGCATTGTCCCGGGCTTGGATTCTTCCTGTGAGAATTTTTCATAATAAATAAATAACTTTCCCCGTTCAAATTTTTTCCTTTTCGAAACTAAAACGCCCACAAATAATACGCACGAGTTCACGATGATGACTCATTTCAACTCTCAAAACTTTAACGTATTGAGTCAACCAAGAAGATTTCTTTTTAATACGTTACATTTTTCACACATACTCAGAGTTGACTCAGTACCGATCGTTTAACTCCTTGAAACTCTCGCACTTGTCCGTCAGAAAAATAAATTGAAAGAACTTTTTTACCATGACATATGATGTCCACATCACATTATTCATATCCTATACAAGAAATTAATAAGTATCAAATAGTTTCCTTCTTTTAAAATTAAATTTCACGTTTCATTGCATGCAGTAGGATTGATTTGATAAGATCTTTTTGATAATTTCTTTTTTAATTTACATAATGTTTATAATTGTCTTTGTAATCTATTAATTATCATGAGAACTTTTGTGCGATGATATTGTGAGAAGAAAAAAAAAAGTCGTTCATTACTTTATAAGGGAATCATAAATAAATAAAAAAATCATTACAACGAAAGTTCCTTTTCAACGATTCGATCCAATTAAAATGCAAATTTTGAAAATGTGCGTCAATGAAATTTCAAATTGACAGGAAAAAAAAAAAATCTTTTCGTTACGCCAAATAAATTTGAACGAGTCCCTCTCAATTTTAAATTCACGATTACGAAATTCGGCGATAAACTTCTGAGATTTACTCCGTGTGAAATGCTGTGTCAAAATGTCGTGAAATAATTCGTAAATAACCAACGGATACACGACAATCACCCCATAAAATAAATTTCCAAAAACTACCAAAAACTCGTTAAAAGTGATCTCTTTCTCACGCAACCAAAATGCAAAGATCTAGTGTAACTCCGCTAATATATTGTATGATAAATTAAAAAATTCGAAATTACCTAAAAATATTTCGTAATTTTGACAAATTTCTTGTCATGCATATTTTTTTTCTGGCTTTTCTTTTGTTCAATTTCTAAATTTAGGATGTTTGTAATGGATTCAAGTTCATAAAGACAAAAAGTCTGATTGATTTGATTCAAGATAAGATTACTTTTATTTTATTAAAACGTGTTCTAAAATAAAAAAAAAATTTCGTTAATAAACCCCACATTAATAAATTACCAAATTTGTAAGAAACCTCCCAAAAAAGGGGCACCGACAATTTATGTCATACGGATAGACACCAAGACGCAAAGTGATCCTCCACAATTTAGAGTAATGATTCAAATTCCCAAAAGAGTAGATTGATTCAACTTCGATTTAATCAACTATTTTTTTTTACAGATTATCTTCATTATTAATATTTATTTATGTAATCCTCGAATTTTAAATTTAAAAAAAAAAATTTGGTGTCATTTCTACACTATTACTTTCCGAGAATTAATTAATCAATGGAAAATTATACATTTTATTATTATGTAACCGCATTTTTCAAGTCTTATGCCAAGGATCGTAACTCGTTTGCTTATTGGTCCGAATTACCCGTATATTGCCGACAATCTTTTAATATACACATTAGTGGAAATTTAGAACAAGCAAGAGGTTAGAAGAAGTGGAAAAGGAACTGGACAGGTTGAAAGTATTGAGGAGAGGGTTTAAGAAGGATAGAAGGAATAATTAGAAAAAGATAAAAAGTCGTTAGAGGAGAAGGAGGACGCGTTGGAATCTTACAAGGTGCGTTGAATGAATTATATAAAAAAAAAAAATGAAATATTTTATAAAAATTACTCAAAATTACTTTCATTCATTCCACTTCGTTTATTTATTTTATTCATTCCGCTTACAACTTTTAACTTTGCTTTTTTTTTTTAATTCTTTCTGTCTGATATTAATGTTATCAACCAACAACCTTTTAGTATGAAGAAAAAAAATGTCTTATTAGATCTTGTTAAATCATTCTGTGACTTGAATAATTTTGAATTGCCAAATGATCCAACAAGCCTAGAAACTGTTTTTCTCCAACCGTTCTGCGTACAAATCCCTATTGAATCTGCAATAGAAAAGCGAAATAATTGATTTTGATTTTTGTTAATAATGATATATATCAGGCTCCACGGCAGCTGAATTTTGTGCAGGTTCGGAACATCGTATAATAAGCAAATTTGATAATATCGTTATCAATGTTTGGGAAACTTTAAAGACAATTCCAATCCTTGGCTATTGACATTGACCCATGGCCAGATGTAATGGTTTGGGTTCAAGATGCATTGATCTTTAAAGCAGAAAGGAAAAAAAGGTGTGATTTTATTGTAGTCATGGATGAGTTGAGGGATAAAAGGAGGGATTGGAATTTGGCATCATGTGGAAACTTCTCTCATATAATGCGGTAAAGCAAAATATTCAATTTCTTTGTCATTATTCAGATTCTAATTTGACATCAATTCCACCTCGTTATAACATTTCTACATTTGCTGGTGGGTTTAAGGTAAGTATATGTTGATTTTTTCAAATATTGCTAAGTTGACCAACTTCAAACCCTTTAGGTGTTAATAACTCCGAACACGTTTTCTTTCAAATTTTTTTCGGAAGTCCATTTCCTTGTTAAAAACATTCGATAGAAAAAGCGGCTGTATTATTCTTTTCTAAGCTATTATTTTACTTTCTTGATTTATTATATTTCTTTTCTAAGTTTTATTATTAAGAATATAATAATGGAAGCATTACCAGTGAAATAATATTCCAAATATGTGATTTACTTTATTTTATAACTTGATTTACTGGCAACGTTCTCATTAATAAATTTTAAGAATTACAAATTAAAATTTCAATTATACTGATCAGATTGCATATAATAATTTATAATAAATTGTAAGAAAAGTTTAATCATAAAATATAATTATCATAATATTAATTCATCTCTTTATCTTAGAAATAATAAAAAGAAATAAGGTTATAACTTAACTTTACATTTAAGAAACTTATCCTATTTATAATTATTTAAATTCTTTCTATACTATTGAATATTCTTGATTCTTCAAAAATGATCTAATTTATCTTATTATTTTGTATTTGATTTTTTTCTTTATTCTTTATTATTTTATAAAAGATAATTTAAATTTTATATTTCTTTGATTTATTTCATCTTTAATTATCATATTTTTATATTAATTCTTCTTTAATTCTTTATTTAATTTTTTATTTATTTTTTATAATCAAAGATTACTATATAAAATTTAGAAATTTAATAAATTAATTAAAAAAAAATATTAATATTACAAAATAATTTATCTAAAGTTACTTGTTTAAATTTATTTTAGATTTGACAAAATATCTAAACTTAATTTGCTAATTTTTATTAAGGTTTTAATATGATATAGTTTTACCTTTTCTTGGATTTTGCAAAACTTTTAGGTTTTATTTAATAATCATATATTAATTTAATAAAATTATCAATAATAAAATATAAATCAATATTCTTATCCCTTCAAGCGTTTTGCAGGCAAATTTGCCTGCAATTTTATTTAATAATTAAAATTATTTATAATAATTTTAA